TGAGCCATGGCAGTTAAAGTGGTGTCAAACTGCATTAATCCTGCAGTGTAGATGCAACCTAAGGTTCGAATCCTTGCTCAACCATGGAAGCCCACGGAGTAACCTTGGGATTTCATCACAGGGGGAAAATTGGAATTTAAACGGTGATTATCCCCTGAAAATTGTGCATTCACGATTAAGATTTTCACATGACATTGCGATTAAAGTGCCATTATCCTGGGAATATCTCATGAAAATCGTGCATTAGCAATAAAGGTTTTCACACGACGTCGTGATTAAAGTGTCATTATCCTGGGAATAACCAGGCAATAAACAGCAACAAATCATTCATGGATTCACAATAGTTCTTACTTATGCAGCCCTTTATTAAGATGAAGATGGAGGCTTGCCTGTACTTTTTCATAAAATGTCAAAGAAAACAGCCTCTCTTGCACCCGGCACATTCCTCCCTCTTGTTTGAATGCAAACCACAAATGCTGCACGAAAACTGAAAAGGTCAACTGCATTAAGGGAGAGATGCTCAGATTCTACGAACTTAATTTGAAGCAAAGGCAAGCTTTTTGCAAGGGAAAATGTGGAATCAAGGAAATGAGCTTTTAATAGGTATAACGTAAAACTGTCACTAAACTGACAGCGTTTACCCATGTGAGCAAGAAACGTGTATTTACCCTGCAAAGGAGCTTTGCTTTACCACTTTAGAAACTATAATGGTGCATCCAGATTTGTAAACTCCTATAAATCCTTCAAAGCTGGGCCTCCTGGTGTGTAAATGGTATGATATAGTCTAGTTTAGATTGCATGTTTTTGTCTGAATATATTTCAGCTTGCTCCTGGCACACTGCAGAAATAAAGCAGTTTGACATCACTTTACCTGCCCTGGCTCAATGCTATAGAATGCTGGGATTTGTAGTTTTATGAGCTATTTAGCCTCCCCTGTCGGAGAGCTTTGGTGCCCCACCAAACTGCAAATCCCTGGAGTCCATAGCATGGAAGCCATGGAAGACAAAGTGTTGTCAAACGGCAACAAAATCTCCTCCTTGAGTTGTGTCCTCATGTTTTTCTTTTCCTGTTTGCATGTTTTCAGATAGTCCTGTAGACTTGAAGGGAAAAATCTCTCTTGCAAAACTTTTCAGATGAAGTTTTTCAGGCCAGGAAGCAAAACACCAAACACACCTGCTACTAATAGTCTCTGACTTAAATGGAAGGAGGAAGGAAGAATAGTCAGCCCCCCAAAAGCTTCAGCTCTCTTGAGATGAAGGAGGAGGTTTTAATCCAAAGGTGTCAGGCAATCCGTCTTCCTGACTCTTTGGCATCCCTGGTAACTTAGGCTTCTACATTTTGGGAAGGAGAGCCCATCTCTTTATCTTCCTGGGCCATTTGTGGGGAACTTCGGGCCATTTGGGGAGCATCAGTAGTGGTTTGAATGTAGGACTAGGATTCTGGGGACCAGAGTCCGATTCCCTGATTGGCCAAGAAACCCACTGGGTGACTTTGGCCAAGTCACACTCTCTCAGCCTCAGAGGAATGGCCATGGTAAACCCCCTCTGCAGAAGCCTGCCAAGAAAACCCCAGG